TTATCTTTCCATATTTTTACACTTTGTACACTTTTGTAAATGATCTCGTTCATGGAGTTGATTAGGAAGATGGTTGATCAGCCCTGCAGAGCTGTGACTGGTAAAATGTGCATCAAGAGCTTTAGCTTTTACCAGTAAGGTTCATTAACTAAACTCTCAGGAATTAACTGCGTATGTTCTGTAAGTGCTTCTGGGTCTTAGCAGGTCCCCTTCAGAGCAGTACAGTGATCATCTGCCTCTTGACCGTAAATTAGGGCTTAGAAAAAATTAATCGCAATGGTTAACGTCTCTGTTCCTGCAGCCTAAGACATGCTTTAAGGATACCAACCCACAGAGCCCCAGGAGACCATTTTTGTACATTGTTCTTTGGACTTAAAAACAGTGCATAGAAAGTTGAAAACCAGCAATTTGATTATTTTCTAAAATATTGCTCTAACTTTGGGTACATAGTATTGGTAATATGCACAGGTTTACCTCATTCTATGCAAGAGGGGTTAATTATGTAAAGTTTTGTATTTACTACTGGAAGTAAAATATGTCCTGTATAGTGTAGGAATGTCTGGAATTCTTTTCTCCCTTACTGGTAAAATTTCTTAAACAATCACCCATTTTTAACAACAGCTTCTCATGTTGACAGAATCTGCTTATCAGTTACGTGTCTGTAACTTCAGGTGGTGAAGATCTTTGAGCGCTCTCAAATAGCCATAAAAAGGACTTTGTCAGGCTGGGTAGACTTCCAATGCCTTTTCTCATATTCCAGCCCACCCATGACGTTTCTTTTGGACAGCCGGGATTGGCGAAGTAGGATTAGAGACCGTTGTAAGGACACTTTGAGCCTTGATTTATATTATTTTTGCCTGTGTTCTCAATTTAACCTGCTGTAAAATCCAGCTCTGGGAGCGTTGATTTGGTTGGTAAGGACCTGGCACTTGCCTGGTTTGCTCGTGAGCAGTTTGCAGGTTGGCCCAGTCAGCTGGAACACGGTTGGCACGACCTTGCTTTCCTCTCTCATCCAGAGCTGCTGAAAAAAACTCTGGCATTCATTTGGGTTTCAGAATGTAAAAATTTGGGTTGGTAATGAGCGAGGTGTTAGCCCAAAGGAGCTAAGCCTTGGGCCTCTGTGTTTCGCCCGGGCTCACACCTGGTTTTGGAGCCTTCAGAGCCGAGAGAGGAAACCAGCACTTAGGTCGAACATGCTTCCTGCTGGAGAAACGCCAGAATTGGGTTTGAAGTCTGTCAGTCTTCATAATGTTCCTTAAAAACAGGGATTTTTATTCATCAAACACTAAAGTAGGAGTTGACTTGCATTCTCAAACGCACGTGACTTCGGTAGGGGTCGAGATTCGTGGGTGAAACTTCTCCCATGTCTGGGAATTCAGAACACACCCAGTTGTGTAACTGGGGGACGGGGAAGCGTGTCCCGAGCAAACCGCAGGAAGAACCGAGGTTGCGCGCAGGGAGCGGCTGAAGGAAAACCTGAGCAGGGTTCTGCCACGGTCTCTTCAGAGCGGGCTCCCTCCTCGCTGCGCTCCGCGTTCAGCGTCCCTTCGTAACGTGGCTCGGGGCCTCCTGACCGTCCCTGGGCGCTCGGCCACGCTACCGGCTGAAAGAGCAGCGGAGCGTTGGGCAGCCGAAACCTTCAGGGGGGTTAAACTCCCCTCGGTGTTGGGCAGAGCAGGTAGCGCAGGTTGCATACCCTTCTCGTCTTGCTAAAAACCCGGTTTCTTTGTTATCAAATACAACTCCAACCTTCTCCTTGCTGCATCCGAGGAAAGCTAAAGCAGTTACCAGTTCCTTGTTCTACGGATACTAACACGGGTTTCAGTGTGTGTTTGTTTTTTACTGTTGTTTTATGTGATGTGAATACCCTCTCCCGTCAATATTTGTACGATGGTGCTAATATATTTGGTAACAATCCTTTATGGGGAAGGGATTTTAAAAAAAAAAAAAACTGTGATATAAACTGAATTTTTCTTCCGTTTAATTTTCATATTTAAAACAACCAGCCACAGCCATTTCTACAGCGACGGCGTCAGCTTTGGCCCCCAGGACAACGTTGGGGCGGGAACCGAGAATAAGCAAAATAGGGTTTTTACATCATTTCTGTATGTATTTGATATATAGATCAATATCTGTACAGATTTAATCTTTTATTTTCTTGGTAATTTGTGTGGTCAGTGAGAGAGTGTTTCAGGCTTTCTCCTGCAGTGTACATAACCAAGTGAAAAACCATGCTTTTGGAGAAATTCCTGTTACTTTCATTTTTACGAGACTGCAGATTTTCCGCATGGATGTGAAAAGCATTAAAATTATAACTTTGTGTACAAGATGAAAATAATTCACTAAATTTGCCTTTTTTTACACAAAATAAAAATGATGAGAAGTCCTTCTTTCTGAAGAGTCTTTCTTTTGTCCAAGGCCCTCCCTGGTATCTACGCACATGTGTTGTGGCTTCTCTCCCCAAAGGAATCCAGATCAAAAGGAACCCTGCGAGCCCACGGATGCTTTGGGTAACTGGGTACGTCAGTGTGAGCTCAGAGCTGGAGCAGCTGTGAGCGCAAGGAAAGGGGGTGAGTGGAGAAGGGGCAGGAGCTACAGCTTTATGAGGGAACACGCTTTGCCCTCGCTCTCACATTGCGCAGCTCCTCCTGCCAGCTCTGCCCAGAGGGAAACTTGGCCAGGGGTAGTGCTGTAATTTACTTCCAGTTTGGATCGATGCTGGAATGAGCTGGAGCATCCCTTATGCTCCCCCTTGCCAGCTGGGTTTGCTCTACCCCGTCGTGTACTGCGGCAGCTTCGCCATGACCACGTGTCACTGAGGTGTTACTCCAACGTGCCCGTACGTGGCCGGTTGTGTAACTGTTCCCCCTCCGAGAGCGCAGCCCTCAACAACTCTGCAAACTCACTGTGAGCACGCGAGCGCGGTCCAGTGAACACACCACACCAGATTCGCTTGTCACCCCTTTATTTGACAGTCACTTTCAGCACTAAGACACCTGCGGTGGGAATTGCTCCCCGGCCAGCAGCTGGAACGAGATGCTGCACTGGAGGCACGGCGGAAGCTCGTTTCACTCGTAGATCCAGTCGTGCGCGCAAGATTTGAAGTCGACGAGCTCCGCGGGTTTGAACCACAGGCTGATCTCCTTCTGCGCGCTCTCGACCGAGTCGCTGCCGTGGATGATGTTCCTGCGGAAGGAGGCAAACGCATCATTTCATGTAAAAATGCACCTCGGCAACCTGGGAGTCCTCCATATGCAAAGAGCTGGGTGAAGCATCTACAGCTGCAAGACTACTCTTCCTGGTACCGTATTCACCAGCTAATTAAGCCTAGCAGGGGTGAGTAGGGCTAATTGACTACACCAGCCGCTGCCCCCGACTGATCTTACACGGAGCTCTGAGGAGGAGCTGCATTTCAAAACCAGTCGGCTTTGTACCAAGCCAGTTTCTTACGCAGCAGTTACGGACGGTGACCTGCAAAGGAAACACCATCAGACTCGGGTCCCTACCCACAGCTGTGACTTAGAATAAACATTTTTAACCTCGGCTGGTAGCAAAGTGAGCACAAACCTTCCAACTTGAATGCAGAAGTCACCACGGATGGTACCAGGCTTGGAGTCGGCAGGGTTGGTTTCCCCCAGCATCACTCTCCCAGTTTTAACCACATTCAGCCCTTCCCATACCTTTGAGAAGACAAACAAAGCCTATTAATCCATGCTTATCCAAAACACCAAAGGTCAATCTTTGCTAATAACGTACTTGGCAAAGAAACGAGCGTTCCACCACTAAAAATAATCCATCTAGCCTAGATTCTCTTAGGGGGAAAACGTAAGAACTGAAATTCATTACAAAAAGGACCATCAACACTGTCACTCCAGCAGGAGATACTTGAACCAAGCCTCAGGTAACGGATGTACCAACTTCAGCACCTTTCAGCTCCCGCGGGGCAGGGACCCCCAGTGATCTGCAGCCCCTCCCAGTCAGGTACACAGTCAAGAGATGCCATCAGGGCAATTATGTTGGTTTTGGGGGAGCGCAAAACAGAATGACGCAGGGGATGGGTTCCTGTGGGACAGCCCTGACCTTTATTTTTCCCAAAACAATTCTCTGGCGCAAAACATTGGCTTTCAGGAATTTTGCTTAATACATGCTAAGCGTTTTATAGATGCACCCTTTCCTTCTTATTAACAAACGGTGGCTTTTTACTTGCCTTGACTTTTAATTTTGGTTTTCTTTTGCCACTATCAGAACTGGGTAGTTTGAAAAAGTGTTTTCATAACGGCCTATCTGAATATTTTATGACAATTTACAGAGTGAGACGAATATATTGAAGAAAATCATCTTCTAGGGAAATTAAGCCGCTTACCATGGCCACAACAGGTCCAGAGTTCATGTATTTAACCAAACCAGGGTAGAACGGCCGGTCTTTGAGGTCAATGTAATGTTGTTTGAGAAGGTCTTCAGAGGCCTTTGAAGGACAAACAGAACGTTAAATACCACTCTCCAAACAGCCTATCACGAAAGGTGTTACTGCGTAAGACCACAGCACCAGGGGTTAGACACACCAGGCGGTAACGTCACCAGCAGCTGCTGCAACGTTTTACAGTTTTTAAGGTGAACTAGAGGAGGGTGTGACACAGCGCCGTGCGCCGCAGCAACACTGGGAGTCGTCAGAATTACGCCCCCGCCTCACAGCAACCCCCAGCAAGGAGCTGAGCGCAAGACGTCTGGGTGATGTTACTCCACACAACCTCCCAGGGAGGGTCATTTCACCTCCGTCAGGCTGAGCCACCCCAGCAATTTTTATTTCCTTAGGAAAGGGGAAAAGATCCAACGTTGGTGCTTGACAGCCAACGTGACCCAGCCCGTGACGCTGTGCTTCCAGCTGCTGGGCACACGCAGCCCCAGATTCCCGTCCCGAGGCAGGGCAAGCCAACCGTATCCTGGGCTG